CACCCCGTCTGAGATCAAGTGTGTCTGGTATTTTTGTCAAAACCCTCTGGCAACCCTAGATATTGTCCTTAATGCTGCTACCAAAACAAAGCATCAAACTGCCATGTTTGATGGAACAAAGGAACTCAGGCTGAGGGGAAAACATTATTTTCAAGTTTCTCAAAGTGGGGATAAGGGATACAAAGTACTGGTGCTTCCCACGCAGCTATATTTCACGAGTGTGTCTGGTATTTTTGTCAAAACCCTCTGGCAACCCTAGATATTGTCCTTAATGCTGCTACCAAAACAAAGCATCAAACTGCCATGTTTGATGGAACAAAGGAACTCAGGCTGAGGGGAAAACATTATTTTCAAGTTTCTCAAAGTGGGGATAAGGGATACAAAGTACTGGTGCTTCCCACGCAGCTATATTTCACGGAGTTTAGAAATTCCAGGCATTTGTGCTTGTATTCTCCTCTATGGCCCAACAAGGGAACCCACCTTCTGGATTCCAGCTCCCCAGCCATCACTGCGCTTGGAGAAAGATGCACATCTCTATCCCTTCCGATTGGGGTACCTCCAAGCTGAGCAATTCCCTGCCTTCACCGTTGTGTTCCTAGCAAAGGCAAGCTGCCCCACTTAGCTACCCTTCATAGCAGGTTGGTAACCAGTGTGCCTGCCTGCAAAGATGGGCACCACATGGATGGCACAAGCCTATTTTATTCTGAAGATAAAAGCACTACAGAGAAAACATTCAAAAGCCATACAAGAACCTACATGCTTGTTGATAAGCTTGCCCAAAATCACCCCAACTCTACCATGGGTGTGACAGGAGCAGGCCTTAACACCTCACCTAAGAGGTTTTCTTGAGGCACCACAGACTCCGCTCAAAACACGCACAATCTTGTGGGATCTCAGTTACCTTGTCCTTCCAACTGTTTCCTAAGGATTGGGGCCCTCTGTACCCAGGATCCAGTCATTTACAGTATCAGGAAGGCATTCCCCCACCCCCAGCTTGTTTAAAACCATTCTTTTTATCCAAAAATCCTTTGTCTTGATTCCTGGAGAATCCAGTTTGAACTATTATTTGTGGACCTTTGAAAGGAGAAGCTTTGAAGGGCTGATAACCAGAGGGATTACATTAGCATCTCCCTTCTGCTAGAGGAGTTCACATACAGTTCCACAATAACACACACAGTTGCATTTTAATACAATGGACCTCAAAGGTATTAAAGCAAAACTGCATCTCAAGTGAACCCTTCAGTTCTTCAAAGTAACAAATCTGCCAATGACAAGCAAGCGCCAAATACAAACTTCAGGGCTTTACATGTTGTATTAGGGACACTGCAGAGGCCTTACCGGGAAGCTAGAAGGAAAAGTAGAAGGTGAATATGGCCAAGATCCAGTCAGTACAAAATAAAAAGAGGAAAGTGCATCTGTGAGCAGTTAGCATCTCAGCAAGCACGGAAAGGTCATTGCCTCAAATGCAAGCCCACCTCCTTTCTGAAGTATCTCGTACTGTCTTTAATCTTCTTTATGAGAGACTGAAACCACAATACTCCTGGACTCTGGTGTGTGTTGTCTGATTTGTTGTGTGCATGCCCTCACTTCCCCTCCTTATCCCTAAAGAGTGTGCAGTTGTTTTAGGAAGGCAACTGTGACTGAGGTGAAAGGGAAGCTGTGTGCATAGGTGCAATGCAGAGAAGTGTCTTTCTCATTAAACTGTTCCTGGGCTGAAGTATAGTATGTGTCCAGAGTATTTCTGGAAGGGAGAGACAGTGGGGAGCTTTTGATGCTGCTGGATTCCAGGTGGTCTTCTCCCTCCATTTTTCTGCTCTGAATATGTTTGACTGCAGAACCAGGCAGTACATGATTTCTTTGACAAATGCTTACAGCCCTCTCTGCTCCCAGGTTCAGTCACCCGTGGATTCAGCCACAATGTCGCCAGTAGAAAGGACAGCTGCCTGGGTTCTGAATAACGGGCAGTATGACGAGGAAGAGGTGGATGCAGAGCAGCAGCAAGATGAAATCAAGCATGCTGAGAAGGTATTCGCAATGTGCACTCTCCAGCCTGAGCTCTCAGAGCAGAGACCTTCACAGCAGCAAGCTGGACTGTTCACAATGGTGGCATTCCCTGTTGGGCCAGAATCTGACTTTCCAATGAAACTGTTACTGACAGAGTTTTCGCTTCCAATGTGAAAAGGGTTTTCTTCTAATCCCCATGCTGAATCAAGCATGCTGAGAAGGTATTCGCAATGTGCACTCTCCAGCCTGAGCTCTCAGAGCAGAGACCTTCACAGCAGCAAGCTGGACTGTTCACAATGGTGGCATTCCCTGTTGGGCCAGAATCTGACTTTCCAATGAAACTGTTACTGACAGAGTTTTCGCTTCCAATGTGAAAAGGGTTTTCTTCTAATCCCCATGCTG